ACCTTTTTTTGCCTTTTCCTGCCTTTTTTGTTAATTTGTTTTGCCGTTTTTATGACTCGGGCCAACGTGTGAACCTGCCAACTATTGTAAAAATGTAACGATGTCCTTTCGATACAGGTAGAGGTCCATTAATATCTAGATGAATATGCTCAAATCTGCTTTTGCGAATCGGAATTTTAATTACTGCAGATTTAGTGTGAGGATTAACTTTTGATTTTTGAAAATTTATACATTCTTTTGACCAAATATTTATTTCTTTGAGCATTTTCGGCCAATAGTACTTTTTTTTATAATTAGACGATGTGTAGCTCTTGCACCAGGATGTGTAATGTCATGTAACATATTAAAAACGTCCTTGCGTAAACTGTTCGGTACAAACGGTCTACGATTCTCACCTGTCATTTCACACCAAATATTAAAATTCAAAAGTGGAATTTGAATTAGTTTAAGGTTTTGTGATGTGTTCCAAGTTTTGAATTTGTTTGTAATTGCATCAACTTCGAAAGCTCGAGATAATGTGTCAGCTACTATATTATCTTGTCCTTTAATATACCGTATGTCGTTATTAAATTGTGCAATGAATTCCATATGTGGCTACCCATGGACCGCCGGAACAGCTGAAAATAAATAAAAATAAATGAAATTTGCAAAATCCACATCCTTATCTACCTGATGTTTTCGTTGGTTGTCATCTCTGTGTAGATCGACGAATGTCAAACTCAGTAAAAGTACCAAAAGGGAAATTTTAAAGCTTTTAAGGGAAAATGTTGCCAGATCGGCAAGGACCATTCGGAGAGCTGAGTAAATCTGGAGAGAGACATTGTGGCAAGGGTTGAGAACCACGGCCACACTATTTCAGAGCTAGGGACACCACAACGATAGCCACGCAAAGGGCTAACATGTACATGACATATAATAGTATGGCGCCCAAATTAAAAGCACAGGAAATAACATCTGCGCCTCAGGTTGAAATTGGCACCCGCAAATAAACGCTACTGGTCGTAACCAGCATAGCACAAAAGAATAGCGATACATATTAATAGCAGAGTTCGTTTTATAAATGTATTTCAATCTTCACAGAAAAGTCAATCGTTCAAAGAAGGGTGCCAGACTGGGTGTTATATTTTTCGTAGCCCGGTGACTCGATTGCATTATCAGTAAATAAACGAGAATCCAATAGCATCGATATATAAGGAAGATCACATAGCCTGACTCCTGCAAGAAACCTTAGATGGCATATCCGGACAAAGATAGTCTGCAGTGCAGTAATTAAGTAGCTTTGAGTTTTTCTTAGACACGTATGGCCGCAATGAGCGAGAGAAATTGTGAAGCATAACGTGTTTTACCCCTTTTCAAACATACGTTTTTTTTTTAATTTTCTTCAAGAATTCATGCTTTTGCCCATAGGAATGAAATAAGTGCTCCAATTACGCTACGAAAGAATTTGGCCAACCCGAAAAGTCAACTAAACCTCCCACTTATTACAACATATATAGTCTAATAGAGAGCTACGATTTCGTCCTTTCGAAGAGATTAAACCTTGTTGTTTTTTTGTTTTCGTTTTAAGTGATATAATTACATATTAGTAACATAAGTTGAATGAAAACGTCGTCAATCAAATATAACATATAAATTATATATAAATATAAAAGCTAAAATGCATCCACCCACCACGATAATGCTAGTTCGACTGTTAGGGACGAATAACAGGGAAACATAAATAACACACCGGCAGATACAGCGATGAATGCAAGGGCTCTTCCTAAACAAAGTGAAGCGCAAGAGGCGCTTGCCCCGATACTGAAATCACCCACTTTGACATTACCACAACCTCTCTCAAGCACTCACGGCGACCCCAACGGGCTTCCACAGGCAACCAATCCAAGATTCGTAATGAAAAAGGCCCGGTGTTAAAAGATATGGTCGCGAAGGTACAAAGACTCTTCTGAGCCAAATACGCGAAAGCTTGCAGGAATTGATCAAGACATCGCGAGATACAAGCGCGGAATAAGTTGCGTCCGGTTTTTCACACAGGTTCCGGAATAGAGCGAACAAAAGAAGGAGGCACAACACCACCATAGAATCAAACGAGTCTAGACGCCTCGAAAGCACAATACCTAGAAATCAAAATTTTATTAATAATGAAGGTAGAAATATCAGCGTTCCAGTGCTGCATTCAGCCACGTATACCGCCTACCATGAACCACCACCGCCACGCCAGCTGCCGACCGTAGATGCAGGGAATCAAGCAGTTTCCTCCGAAAACGGCCGTCCAAGGCCTCAAAATAACAAAGATCTCAGCCGATCAGATATAAATATAGAAAAATGGGGGATAAGTTACCGGGGTCATCGCGATTTGATGTCGATTGGAGATTTTCTGTTCCGGTTATAGAACCTGATGTGTTCGTGGGGCGAAATTCTACGCGATTTCCATAGGTTACTGAGCGGAGAAGCGCGTGAATGGCATTGGCTGTACGTACAGTCGCATAGCAAGGTAGATTGGCCCAGTCTGCAATTCGCGCTTCGACGTTCAGATTTGGGGTAGGTACACTGCGCTCTCGGCTGAGGAATCCAATCCCAGAGTATGAAATAATCCGGTTGGTGAAAGAGAACTTGTGCGAATAATTGGCAAAAATATTTTGTCCCATCTAAACATACTCGCTCGAACAGCTCCGATTGGAATGCAAGGAAGTCGAACGGTGTTTTCCGCGTCGCGATCGTGCACTGCCAAGTGGTTTCATGGCACGTACCCAACACGTCAATGAGGTCGTTCAAATTGACTATGAAGTGCAATTTTCTCCCGGTGATGAGGGTCAAGTGGATTGGGCAGAGCACACTTAAATTCCAGTCGTCGGGCATGCGTTCATCTGACCATATTCTGCATACGAGCTGGTGCATGCACCTCATCAGCTCCTCGCCGCCGTACTTGAATAGCTCAGCTGGCAGGCCGTCAGCTCCAGCAGCTTTGTTGTTTTTCATCCGCGCAATCGCTATTCATACCTCGTCATAGTCAGGCGGTGGGACAGCTACTCCATCATCATCGACTGGGGACTCGGGTTCGTCTTCTTCACTACTTTCAGCGCTGCTGCCATTCAGTAGGTTGTAAAAGTGTTCCCTCTACAATTTAAGTTCTTACAGGAGTTCGCCCCGGTCGTGAAACCTTCCAGAAGTCGCCTAACTCTCTGGTAGAGTTTTCGGGCGTTCTTCCTGTCGGCCAGCATCTCAAGCTCTTCGCACTCACGTATTTCGGCCTCTCTCTTCTTATTGCGGCAAATACGTCTCGCTTCCTTCTTCAGTTCCCTATAACGGTCCCACATGGCTCGCGTTGCGCCCGATCGCAGCGTGGCCCTGTAGGCGGCATCTTTTTTCTCTGCGGCTTCTTGACATTCCTCATCGTACCAGTTGTTCTTTCGGGCTCGCTGAAATCCAACTACTTCTTCGGCGGCGGTACTTAATGATCGGGAAATGTGGTTCCACTGCTCGCGTACGTCGGATTGTTGAAGAGTGCTCTCAGAGAGCAGGTGTGTGAGTCGAGTGGCGAATAAATTGGCCGTCTGTTGTGATTGCAGCTTTTCGACATTAAACTTTCCTTGCATTGTCGCGCGCACATTTTTTGCTGCACAGAGGAGGGTGCGTATCTTGGCTACAACAAGATAGTGATCCGAGTCGATGTTTCGCCCGATCAGCCTCAGTCCGTTAGCGGACATTAAAGCATGCCTTCCGTCTATCACAACATGATCGATTTGGTTTCTCGTTTTTCGATCTGGAGACAGCCATGTAGCTTGGTGGATGTTCTTATGCTGGAACCTAGTACTACATATTACCATATTTCGGGCCCCGGCGAAGTCGATCAGCCTCAGTCCGTTATCGGACGTTTCGTCGTGGAGGCTGAATTTTCCGACAGTGGCGCCAAAGATCCCTTCCTTGCCCACCTTGGCATTAAAATCGCCAAGCACGATTTTGACATCGTGTCGGGGGCAGCGCTCATATGTACGTTCCAAGCGCTCATAGAAGAGATCCTTGGACGCCTCATCCTTCTCTTCCGTCGGGGCATGGGCGCAGATGAGCGAGATGTTGAATAATCTAGCTTTGATGCGGATTGTGGCTAGACGTTCGTCCACCGGGGTGAACGCCAGTACTCGGCGACGGAGTCTCTCTCCTACCACGAATCCAACACCGAATTTGCGCTCCTTTACGTGGCAACTGTAGTAGACGTCGTAAGGCCCCACGCTTACTTTTCCTTGCCCCGTCTATCGCATTTCTTGGATGGAGGTGATGTCAGCCTTTGTCTTCCGGAAGATATCAACCATCCGGGCAGGACCTTCCCATTTAAGGGTCCGGATATTCCAGGTGCATACCCTTAAATCATAGTC